GCCGCTTGTATCCGCGATCTCGTTCTATCGGTCACTACCCACAGCTCGTGGCCATAGGTGAGGGTTTTTCATTTTTAATAAAAGAAAATGTAACGACATAGTGATGAAAAATACATGATGATCAAAGCTCTAGGCCAAATGAACTCTCAGTCTGTTGGTCAGAAAGGAGAAAGCCTGACTTTTATTTAGGGAGGAAAAAGTTCAAGAACCCTGATTTAACAGCTCCCAGAGACAAAGCAGGGATGTGTGCTCTCTAATGTATCGAGTATTAAATATGTCAAACGTATTAAGCACTTTTAAATGTTTCGCTCTAACCAGGAAATGAATTCAGATAATTTAAGAGAAGCTTTACAATGTACAGTTTAAAGGATTCTTTATTGTCATTCACCACAAAGAAAACACGACAGTGCAGTTACTCAGTTCTCTGACTAACAATCAAAAATAGTAAACAGCCAACTAAAAATATCATCATTTATATATGAAATAAACAAGTAAATAAATATATTACCTATTAAATTGTTTTAGAGATGTGAAAGTTTAGCACAGTTCAACATTGTCACAGTATCCAGAAAAGCAGCAATGCTTCGGCCTCACCAGGATGCTGTGCAGCCTCCATCCCAAACGGAGGGAAAACGGTCCATAGCAGGCAAAAGATTACTGCTGTAAAACTGTTTAATTCTCTTCCTAACTTAAACCCCCCACACATCTATTTTAAAATGTAAAACATTTTTAATTTAGAATTAATTAATAAATTACGATGTCGATTCACAGCCTATGCCATTATGGCTGAACACTCTGTTCCCATATGGGCGAATGATTCCGGGTCCACCTCCCTTTCTTCCTCCTAAACCCTCTTTTCCTCTTCTCCTTCTCCTTTTACGTTTATAGCAGAACACAGAAGTAAGTGGATTTTTTATCTGTAGCATTTCGAGCTGCCAGGATGGCCTCTTCAAACACCTCCTTCACTCCTTCCTGGAAACGAGACAGAAAGAGACTCAAATTTAACAAGAGGAAAAAAAGATTTCTACTTCAGAAAGAGGTGGAGGAGTTATTTCCTAGCAGAGTATCAAGATAAACAGGAAATATTGTGAATATAAACTGTTTATTTTGATACTCTTAGGAAAAATCTAAGATGTGAGAAATCATGATGGTCTCTGCAGTCCTGCTGACGTGCCTCTGAAACATTGCATGGAAGTTGAGTACAGCGCCTCTGTGCTGGCGGACTGGGGAGGAGGTGGCTCCCTGTTTGCCACAGACTGCTCCTTCCTTGACAGGCACTGGTCAAACCTCAGATTCAGGAAGAGAAAGGCAGTTTTTATCCTGGTCCTTGAACACACTGCATCAAGTATTTATCCTCTGAACGTATTCAAAGGTGTGTGGCAGTTTTATATTGTAAGGTAGAGACCTGACAATGATACAAAGAAAACAGAGAAATACAAAGTACATAGAATACAAAGAAAACCCCAACAGTCATATGACCCGCTATGAGCAAGCACTTTGATGACAGAAAGAAAAACTCCCTTTTAACAGGAAGAAACCAGATGAGGGGTCACTCAGCAGCCGCGGAGCAGAAGCCAGGGGGGGTTGCAGTGACGTGCCCGTGAGC